CCCGGCACGGGCTCTGCCACCGGCGGGGGACAAGGCTGCAGGGGTGGCCACCAACCCAAACCAGCCAGCAGAGCAGGTCGGGCACCTGCCTGGGTGCACGTACTGGGATGCCCTGGGGATGCAAGGATGGGGATGCAGGGAGGTGCCAGACCCTGCAACCCCAACGGCGGCTGGGGTTGGCTGCAGGTCCTGGGGAGAGCGAGAGCCAGGGCAGGGAGCCCGGGAAGGGCCAGGAGAAGGGCAGCGCTGCCAGGTGGGCCAGAGTCCTCAGGGGACCCGCACGTCCCCAGCGGCTGCCAAGGAACAGGGCTGGGTGCCCTGACCACCAGCCCCCGTTCCTAAGCGCCGCGGGACGCCTGCCCAGCTCCCTCACCCTCCGTGTGGGTGACAGCAGGGAGCACCCTTCCATGGTGGGACTCCTACCACCACCTTCCCCCCCCCCAAACCCTGCTCTCAGCCCCTCGGGTGCCACTTGCTGTCCCCTGCACACGGTGACATCCCCACACCTGCCCCTGCCTCCGGCGCTCAGGGGGGGCTGGTGGGAGGGCAGAGCACATTGGGAACCACCAGAGACACCTTCTACCTTTGCCTTTAAACACTGAAGCTTATATTAGAGACTATGATATATAATCCGGAGGGCAGGGCCGTCCTGCCCGGAGTAGAGACAGCAGAGAGAGCACAGCTCCGTGGCCAGCCTGGTGAGGGTCTGCTCCGGCTGCGAGCAGGGGGTTAGTACGGGGGCACAGAGCGGGCGAGCGGGCAGGGGGACGCCACCGTCTAGGGCTGGTTCTTCGCCTCGGGGTCTTTGTCGTAGATGTAGCTTCCCACAGCTCCGGTGTTGACTCCTGCATGGGGGGGAGATGCAGGAGGGTGAGCAGCCGGGTGGGATGGTGGCACGCGCCAGGGAGATGTCCCCTCTGGGCGATGGCACGAGCATCGAGAGCAGCAGCCCAGGTGGGGTGCGTCCCCCCAGAGCGGCTCCCCACCCCACGCGCCTGCAGGCACTCACCCTTTGGCCCGAAGAGGATCCCGTAGCAGGGCTTGTGGCAGTACGGCTGTCCGTCGTGCTGCGCAGGGCAGAGAGAGAAGCGTGTCGCTGGGGGCGAGGGGCCGGGGAAAGGCCAGTCCCCAGGACACATCCCCCTGACTGGGCACCTCTCCCGTTCTGCTCATCCCCTGAAGACACCGGCACCCCAGTGTGCCCCCAGGGCTGCTCCTGCCAGCCCTGCCCTGCGCTCTTGCAAAAGCAGGGGCTGCCCAACCGGCGCGGCACAGCACAGTTCACCCACGGCACGCTGGCATCCCCCACGCGCGCTGCCTGGGGGTCTCAGGGCTGGGATGCCCTTACCTCAGCGTGGCCCCCTGGGGTCAGCGTCTTGCTGCAGCGCTCGCAGCGTAGGCAGGGACGGTGCCAGTCCTTCCCCAGCGAAGTCACCTTCTCGGCTAGAGCGGGGACAAGGAGGGAAGGTCACACCAGCCGCCCCGCACACATGCTGAGGGGGAGCGCACCCCGTGGGGACGTCACCTCTGTGTACAAAATCCCAAGACAGCCCTGTGCACCCCAGCCTCCCGCATCTCTCCCACCCCTCTGCTGCCTCACAGGTGACAGAGGTTGGCTGAGGACAGCTATTAAGCCCACGCCACCCACCTGGGAGGTGACAGCAGCGGACAAGATGCACATGAAGCCCTGCACCCAGGAGTTCCTCCAAGAGGACCCATCCCTGCAGGCTCCTTGGGCACATCCCTCTGTGCCCCCAACCCCATCTCTGAGCCAAAGCCCCCTCCCAGCTCCTCTGCGTGCCCCAGGGGTCCTGCGTGCAGCCCCAGCACTGCGGTGCCGTGCCACCCCGGGGCATGCACCCACTGCCCGCTCGCCACCTTACCAAAGTAGACTCTCTTGCCACAGCGTGGGCACATGTTGGGCTCCCCGGTGAAGGTGGTGACGCTGGAGGCTGGAAAAAGAGAGGGCATGAGCGTGGGAAGCGGAGGGACATCTCAGCCAGGACACATGGGTGCGGAGGACCCCCCACACATGCTGCACCCCACACCATCACCAAACGTGGTGGCTCTGGAGCAGCTGAACGCCACGACAGAGGGCCAGGCTGTCCATCCTGCCCTGCCCCTCACCTTTGCTGGGTCCCTTGGGAGGTGCAGCGTTCGCCTTCCTTTCCTCCACCTTCACCGGGTGCTCGATCGGTCCCGGAGCAGTCTGCCCCTCAATCTGCGGCTTGTCATAGATGTAGGACCCGGCGCCGCCAATGTTCACCCCTGCAGTGGGGCAGAGAGAGGCTGTGGTGGCCTGGGAGCACCCGGGGTCTCCATCCTCCCCCCAGCCCCTGTCCCACCTCCCCCAGCCCCGCTGAGCCACAGGGCCACTGCAGACACTGCTGCACCTTGGCCCCGACTTGCTTTCTCCCGACCCAGGCTTTCTCCAACCACGTCTGGGATAGGAGAACAACTCCACCTTCTGTTTGAATGGGAATTTGTCTTTTAAATATTAAAAAAAAAAAAAAAAGGACAGCTGTCAGGACAGATCCCTCCCTCCCTCCAGCAGGTCTCCTTTCCTTCTGCACAAGGGGACAGCAGTGCTGGGACTGCAAAGTGCTGGCTTGAGGCTCAGCCCATGCTAGCCTGGCTCCCGGGGTGTTTTTGGGGCCACGGCTCCCCACCAGTGGGGATGGGGGGGACCTGGCCCCTCCTGCAGCCCTGGGCACAGCCGCACAGGCACGGGAGGAGCACGGACGTACCTTTGGGGCCGAACAGCGTGGCGTAGCAGGGCTTGTGGCAGAAGGGTTTCCCATCATGCTGGGGAGAGAGGGGAGCGTTAGGATGCCGAGCGGCAACGTGCTTCCCTTGGGATCACTTCCATCCCCACCGATGTTCAGAGACCACCACGGCCGTACCTACACCCCAAAACGGCACCCACTGGACACCCTCAGCCTGCGGGTCTGCCAGCGACAGCCTAACCCGACCCAAGCACGCGAGGATTGCGCCTGCATGAAACGCTCCAGCTGCTCCGCACGTGCCCTGTCGCTGGAGCATCGGCACCCTGCGGCAGTTCAGCTGAGAGGCACCTCCGAGCCCCAACCCGGCGGTGTGCCACCGGGACCCAGTAAGGCATCCCTTTGCCCCGTAAGCATCCTGCGTGCCATCAGGCCATTCTTAGGCACACAGACCACTGTGGCTTCCACCGAGCTTTGCCTCCCCCCTCGCCTTGGCCTGAGATCAGAGGCCCCGCGTGGCTGCTGGTCCCAGCCCAGCTGCTATCGGCTGGGGGTGATTATCGCAGGAAGGCACGAAGAAGGCGATAAGCCCCGGAACTCCCCGCAGTCATTTCTCGTGGGCCAGCAGAAACCGAGTCCAAAAGAAAAGAAAGAGCATTTGTGGCTGGGGCAGGGGGCCAGCGGGGCTGCCACGTACGCTGCCCCGTGTAGAAAACCCACTGGGACCCCATCCTCGGGCACCAGCCCACCCCATCACCTGCTTGGCTCCATTCAGCATCTCAGCCCTGCTTCGTGCCCCGTGCTCCTGCCCTCCATCCCCTCTGCTGCAAGGCAAGGATGCCTTGCCCAAAGCGGGCAGGGCAGTAGCCGAGCAGAAGCGATGTCCCTTCCCTCACTTCCCCGAGCAGTGCCATGCTGAAGGCGAGGACTGGGAAGAGCCAGGGGCAAGGCTGGGGGAGCGAGCAGGCAGCTGGCTGGCAGCAAGCAGCTGCAAAATATCGCAAGGCATAAATATCGGCGTGCTCGCGGCATTACCATGCCGGAGGAGAGGGTAAACATTTAGCTGGTCTCCCCGCGACATCTTTCCAAGCCAGCCGGACACACTGGCTTGAAAGGAGGGAGAAAAAGCAGGGAAGGGCCAAATCCTGCTGTCGGCGCAGTCGGTGGGGGCTTGGCTGCCGTCCCCCACGGGAGCAGAATCTGGCCTTATATGGAGAAGCAGCAAATCCCCCGAACTTAACCCGGCCCAAAGCACAAATCCACCCGCACAGCCCCATCCTCCCCAGCAGGACCGGCCCCACTCCCCTTTGGGCTGGTGGCAACCAGCACGGCTGTCCCCGCCGCCGCCCGCTCCCCAGCTGTGCCGCGTGCTAAAACCATGCTAAAGAGCTGGTGACACTCTGGCATGACAGGCACTGTGCAAAACCCAGGGCACCAGGTGTCACGCCAGGGCATTGCACAGTTGCTCCCAGAAAAACACAGTTGCTCCCAGGCCCGAGCATCTGCCATCACCGGCACAGCACCCTCGCACTCCCAAGCGCTCGGCAGCCGCGGTGGCATCGAGCTCCAGCGCAAGCCCCAGGGCACCAAAAGCCCCAGTGCCGAGCTAGCATCGCCATGGCAACCCGTGCATCCCCAATTTTTGGCATTTTTAACCACACTCTGCTGCAGGCTTTAGGCACCCGCACACCTTCAAAGCCACTGCGATGCCCAGACAAGCCTGCCCGGTGCACAGAGCTGCTTCAAGTGCTTGCTGGGGCATGCCAAGCCCTGCCACAGGCAGCCTGGGAGCCCACATTGGGGTGGCACAGCTGAGGCACCACATGTGTACGAGAGCTCTTGAGCACCACAAGTTGCAGCAGCAGCATTTGAAGCCACAGTGTGTGCTCCTGGGCTTGCGTGCCCACCCGTGTGGCATCAGGTACTTGCCCCAACCATGATTCCTGGGACTCCCTGTCCCTGGGATGCTGGAGAGCACTGGAGAGCCCACCAGGCCACCCCTGGAAGGGTGCTCCCCCACCCTCCACCCCAGCGGCTCTTACCTCGGCGTGCCCACCCGGGGTCAGGGTCTTGTTGCAGCGCTCACACTTCAGGCAGAACTTGTGCCAGTCTTTGCCCAGGGAGGACACCTTCTCGGCTGCAGGGAACACGAGAGAGGGATGAGTGACTGCCCAGCACCTGCTAAAGCCCCTGGGGAAGCCAGGCTCCGGGCACCGTGGGGGGCTGCACTCGAGGGGGGCTGCTCATTGGCACGCTGTGCAAATCAACCACGCTGCAGGGACCGCTCTGCTGCAGCCCACAGGGTCCTTGAGGCCATTCAGGCCATGGGCACGGGGCGCCCCCCAGCCTCTGACCCCGCCAGCACTGGCTCTGCCATCGCACAGACACCCTTTCCCACGCGCCAGTCCAGCAAGGGTAGTATTTTCCTTTCTACTCCCTGCATCTATTTTTACCCGGCGCGTTACCCAGAATGACCCTGCTCCCATTCAAATATTTGGTGTTACCATGCCCACCCCACCCGTTCAGTCATGCCTCCCCCACGCACACCCAGCTGCTCAGGCTCCCCAGGGAGCCTCGGCCGCAGCTCCGGAGCTGCTCCCAGGACACCCACCCGCCTCCAGCCGGGAGGACGGGATGGCAGACAGCCTCCAGTGTCACCAAGGATGGACGTTTGGCCCTGGAAAACACCTGTTTCTTGGGCGTGCGGGTGTTCCCCCCTCGCCTTCAGCCCGGGAGCAGGCGCGACGTGCAGACAGGTACGCAGGCACCATCCCTGTATTGCCCCGGAGTGCCACGAACCTGCGGAGCAACTCGCTGCCGGCACCAAAAACAGTTTCAAAGCATCGGTGGGCAAATTCAGGGAAGGAAAATGCTTTGAGACCGGTTGCGTGAATGCACCTCCTCCAAGCTGGCCCCGAGCTGTACGTCGCCAGGAGCACCCTGGGCGGTAGCATGGGCTGCCAGTCCTCGTCCCGCATCCCCGGCCTCGCACCGTCCCTCCACCCTCCCAGCTCCTGGGGGGCCAAGCGCTGCCCCGTGCCCCCCGCCGATTCTTGTTCGCCCTCCCTCTCCCCCGCACATGTGTGGAGACAGCTGGAACACAGCATGATCCTGTTAAAGCCACCGTAAAACTAAATCAAAAGAGCCAAATAAAATATTTAACAAGCAAATAAAAGCGCAACCGGAGCCCAGCCCTGCTCTACAAGAAGACCTCCGCAGCAGCAGCGGGTTTCCCAGCCCTTTTTCCACTGAGGACCTCAGCAAATGTCACCTGTCTGCATCAGGTCAAGATGGGGGTCAAGAGCTCCCTGGGGGCAGGTCCTGGCTTCCAGAGCCACCCCCCTCCCAAGGCAAACAGCTGCGTCTGGGGCACACCACAGGGCCAAGATAAGTCAAAATAACTGCCACCACCCCCCAAAAAATGAGCTCTGGTGCAAAGCAGGGTGGCCAGTGGCAGAGGAGGGCAGCACAAGGAGGCAGAGCCGGATCCATCGCACTGGGGTGCAGGGAAGAGCCCCGAGAGCATCCCCAAGCAAGGACATGGCGGACAGGTTTGGGGGACCAGCATCAGCTGGAAGCAGCTCTGGACTGACCTCCCGGTGATGCCACACACGAGTCCAGGCTGTTGGACCAAACCCCAGGTGGGAGCAGATGGCAGGGTGAAGAGACGCCCCGCTGCAGCCGGGGGTCTGTGCCTGCCTCCTCAAAGCTGCCAGGGCGAATCCCTGCTGGTCCCCAAGCCAGGGGGCTCAGGAGGGCTCGTGCTTCCCCAGCCCCTCGCAGCAGGCAGCACACGGGGAGTGGGCCAGGGCTGGAGCCTGCCCCCCATTCCTCTGCAGACCTCAGCTGCCCCTGGGGGCAGAGGACCAGCCCCAGGCACACAGCCCCCAGCCCCGCAAGCGCTCCCCAAAAGCGAAGGAGAGGGACACGGAGGTCCCAGCACGCTGCTGCCTTGGGGCTGTTGCAGGAACCCTGCATCCCCCCAGCCCTCCCCAGCAGGAACGGGTGCCTCCCTGGGGCAACCAGAGAGGAAAATGGAGCGCGATGGGCTGAAAGCTGAGCCAGGGGCTCGGGGCCAAAGAACCGCTCGGCTTTGTCACAGAGGATGCACAGCCAGGCCAGGCTGCTCTTCGGCTGCGTCACCCCCAGCTCTTCCCGCCACCCCGGCCCAGCACTGTCACGGCCCCAGGTACAAAGCAAGGAGGAAAATCCCAGCGGATGTTTTCTGGAGGCCATTGCAATTACAGCTGGCCACAGCCCACACCATCTCCTTCCTGTCCCCGCGAGATGAGATGCCGCCCCAATGTGTCCTCCCCCCATGATATGTCAGACAGCTGTAAATCCCTGCTGCTTCCTGACAAATGCACTCCCCCCGCCAAGGCATCCCCGAGCCATGCAGAGCAAGAGGGACCTCGCTGGCACCTGCAGCCCCTGGCAGGGGACAGGGCAGGAGGGAGGAGGTGGCCCAGTGCACCATCCTGCTCCCGGGGCACTGGGACAGCCCGGGAACCGCAGGGGCTGCCCCTTGCCCATGGGTGGAAATGTCATGCAGATGTTGGTCAGACATCCTCTGGCTGCAAACAAGGGCTCCCAGGGGCCAAGGCCGGGGCCGGCACAGCCGGGACGGCTTTCCAGGCAGCATTGTTCGCACCGAGCGGAGGAAGCAGCTTGGAGCCACCCCAGCCTATTTCCAGGGCAGCGGCGTCCCGCCTGTGGCCATGCTGCCCCATAAATCACTGTGGAGGGAAAGCACCAGTGCCCAGATTTCCGGTCCCCCCGCCACACCAGCTCCACTGTTGCATCAGCTCCGGAGGAGAAGCCTCTGCCCACGTCCTCCCGCTGTGGCAGAGATCCCCAGGCAGCTGCTGGGGGGAACCCTGCTCCACACCCCCAACTCCAGGGGGGCACCCCACCATCAGCACTGCAAGAGCACCCTGGGGGCAAAGCAGCACCCGGGATCCATCCTGCTCCGTGCAGGGAGTGCAGGATGGCACAGGGCTCCGGCGAGGGCTTCGCTCGGCCAGATGTCACGCCGCACCCAGCCTCCGCCACCGAACGCCATGCCCCGCCACGCCGGGAAGGGACGGGCCAGCACCCACGTCTCAGCATCACACCGAGCGCACGCAGGTCCTGCCCCGCTTGCTGGATCCCACACCGACCTGCTCAGCCTGTGGCAAGATGCTCCCCTCAAGCCCACCAAATTTAAACCAGCCGTGCAGCACTCCCTGGGAAGGGCGGATTAAGGGCACTCGCCTGCAGGAATTTGGCCTCTGCCAAATGTGCGTGACTCGGGGTTTGCTTGCCCTGGGTTACCCACCTCGCCATGGGTGGGCACCGGGTGCCCATTGACAATAAACCTCTCCCCTAGGGGAAATGCCCCTGCGGAGGAGAGGTGGAGGCACGGCTGGGTACGTGGCCAACTGCGGGGTGGATTTGCAACGTGCAAGGGGTACAGCCCACGCTGACGAGGAGCACCACCAGAACCAGAACCGGAGCTGGGGGGAAATCAGAGGCCAGGAGTGGGAAAGAGCCCAAGGGGCTGCCAAGGCAGTCTGTTCCTCGCAGCTCTGCCAAGGCATTCAGCTCCCCATGGCTCTGCGGCAGCCCCACCCCAGAGACAACGCAGATCATCCCTTAATTATCCGCCATGCCCAGGCAAGGCAGCTGGCGCGGGCCAGATGTGGATGCATCTTCTCAGGGTGGGAAGGGAGCATCCCTCCTCCCAGCCTCACCAAGCCGGCTCCGTGCCCTCGCACAGGTATTTCCATGGCCTGACGTCAGCGCTGCTTCCAGCCGGAGGCTTATTCAGCAAAACAACCGTAGCTGCAGCCGCGTCTCTGCAAAGGGCTGGGCCGTGCCCCATTCATCCCACCACAGCCCTGGGAGGACGCGGGCAAGGGCTGGCAAAGCCCAGTCCGGCGATAAAGATGCCAAATCTCCACAGTCACCCAGTGACGGGCATCCTTGGAGGAGAGGGATGCTGTCAGATCGACCGCAGATGCGCTTCAAAGCAGTTGCAGGCACAAAGGAATGAATAAGAGAGATCAGCCCAGGGAAAGGAGCCTGGTAAATGGCTGGAAACAAAGCCGAAAGCCCAGGCGGCTGGCTGCCTCATCCTCTCCCCAGCCCCTTGCAGCGTGGCCAGGAGATGGAAAAGGTGGGGGGACGGCTTCAGGATTTCCTGCCATGCCGTGCCGTGCCGCGCCACCAGCCGTGGTGCCCCACCGGTCCCCCGGGAAGGGTCTGTGCTGCCTTCCCACATCCCCCACCCCATCCCCTCCTGCCCTCCTCAGCCATGGCCAGGCAGCTCCTCTCCCCCGTCAGACAGCCGGTGCTGACGGTTACACCGCACTGTGATTTTGTGGCCAAGACGTATATATTTAGCTCCCCCGCAGCAAGGCGAGGCAACCCCTCTGGCCCCAAAGACGCTCGCTTGCTGGGCTCCTTCCAAGTGTGCAACAAAGCCAGCTCAGGATGGGCTCGCCGGGGAGCACAGCCGGGAGGGTGGAACAAGGAATACCCCACGCGGGGGATCCTGCTTGCCAGGGCCTCTCTTCCAGGCGAGCAGAGGTGAGGTCCTCCCCAGGACCCGAGCTCCCGCGTAGCCCGGCCGCTTGGGCACGAGCAAGGGTTGTTTGATTTCCATCTGCAGCCCTAATGCACGGCAAGGGTCCCGTCCACCCCGCCGCTCTCTGCTGACAAAACCTCACCTAGTGCAAGCATTTTCCTGGCCGTGAGCCTTCAACCTCCCGCTCTGGTTCACGGGGCCAGGACAGCCTCCAGCAAGCCCCTCTGTGTTTTCCATGGAGCTGCTGTACTTCATCAAGCCGTGTCCGCACAGGATGCATCCCTCCGGCTCTGAGGCCGGCCAGCTCGACCGTAGCTATGCTGGGAGAGGATCAGCAGCGTTTCTTGCCAGGCACTGGCTTCAGCCAGGGCTGACCCCAAGCAACCAGCTGCTTTCTTGCTGCGGCACAGACCCACACGCGAGGCGGTGCAGGCAGGACCCCCGGGCAGTGGCAGGAATCCAGCCAGCCTGCAGCCCTCCCCTCGCCCCACCGCACGGCGAGGGGCAGAGCGGCCAGCGGAGAGCTGGGGCACGGGCAGGCACAGAAGCAAAACCCCTCCCTAGGTAGT